TGTGGCCCGTGGACCGTAGTTTGGAGACCGCTGCCCTAGACTCTAAGGAATGTTTACAAATATTGTGTCATGAGTACACAGTATGGTGCTAAGATTCCCTGTTTCACAGGATGGTTTGTTATATAGGAGACTAATTCCGGTACCCATTGATGCCTGGGTCCTGTTACCCCCTTCTCAGCCCTCTCACACCTGTACCCCCCACCCCTCAGCCCCCTATATCACTCCCCCCCCCCCCCATCTCCACCCTTCTGCTTTCCCTTCTCCACATTTTTCCCCTATCTCCTTCCCTCCACATTACCCCTCTCTCTCTCTCTCTCTCTCTCTCTCTCTCTCTCTCTCTCTCTCTCTCTCTCAGAACGTGTCAAACCACTTGGGCTGGAGGGTAGAGCGACGATCTCACTTCATGCAGGTCAGCGTTCAATCCTCGACCGTCCAAGTGGTTGGGCACCATTCCTTCTCCCTGTCCCATCCCAAATCCTTATCCTGATCCCTTCCAAGTGCTATATAGTCGTAATGTCTTGGCGCTTTCCCCAGATAATTCCCTCCCTTCTTTCAGAACATTATTTTTATTTTGAATCAATGATGCAATAATGTACTTAAGCACGTTGTGGTTACCTTATGTAAGGTTTGACATTATAAACAGCTGAAAACTGTTAAAAAACCGCTCTTTAAAATAAAGCTCACATTTCAGACATTCAAAGAGTTATTGGAATTCTGACTTGCAGTTGGTCTTTCATAAGGTGGGGCACTGGTGCTGACCCCGACCAACTTATGACAGTCCAATACCACCCATGTGTCATCTTGATAAGTTGCGTGAGGCTAACCCTCAAGCGCCTGGCCTCAAACCTTGGGTAAAGACACAGACAAACACTTTTATACACATAAGTGAAGTCTGTCATCACTATCAAACTATGTATAGATTAAAGAGGATTTCCCAAAGAACGCGAAAGTGGATGAAAGGTTCCAGGTACCTCTTCCCGGTATATGTAAAGGGGTTAATGACTTGGTACTCAATAATAATAATGAAATGCTGGAAAATATGGCTCAGTACTTAGTATTGGGAGATTCGTCACAGTCATCTGACAGAGGTAACAGTAGTATATATATATATATATATATATATATATATATATATATATATATATATATATATATATATATATATATATATATATATATATATATATATATATATGACAATGTCAGACCACGGAGGAAAATGAAACAGGAATTTCCTTAAGTACTTTCGTATATTAAATACATCTTCAGAAGGATTCCTTCTGAAGATGTATTTAATATACGAAAGTACTTAAGGAAATTCCTGTTTCATTTTCCTCCGTGGTCTGACATTGTCACATTCTTAATCACGTGTTTATTTCGTGATATACACATATATATATATATATATATATATATATATATATATATATATATATATATATATATATATATATATATATCACAGCGTTTGGTGGAGGCTGTGTAGTGCCCACATACTTAGATATCAGATCTAAATTAATCCTATTTTTGTATACAATTACACCGTAGCCTTAGAGAGCGCATGTATGTGATTGCTCTCCTATCACACCTGCACGCATGAAGTAATATTGTCCTGCCAGTGCTATGGGATATCAGCTGGGTAAAAAAAAAATACGGGCTCACCATAGCCCGTGCTGCTTGGAACTTTTTGTTCCAGGTAGCGAATCTTTAACAACCACCAGCTGGGCCTAGTTCAACGCTGTCAGCTAGCGGCTCAACCATGATTGATGTTAAGAGTTCCCAAGAGTCACGTTGCACTATCTTCACCATCTGCCTCCCATAATTCACCCACGGGCTCACCATACCCCGTGCTACTTAGAACTGCTTGTTCCAAGTAGCGAATCTTTAACAACAACAACAACCCATAATTCTCGCTCGCATTAAGTGCTCAGAAACCATCAGCGAGGCTTGTAAACGAGCCAGATAAAAGATCCAGGTGTGAGGGGAATAGTAATTAAGGTTACGACCTGCGCCGCCCGGCGGCCCGGGGGGGATGGTCGTCACCATCCTCCAGTGGTGTGAGATGTGCTGCCCATCTCCACCACTCACGGTACATGTGTCATCAGTGCTGTGCTCACTATCAGTACTACGCACACCACCAGTACTGTGTACACCAGTACTCTGCACTCAAGGAGGTACTCTGCAACTACAAGGAGGCCTGGTCGACGACCGGGCCGCGGGGACGCTAAGCCCCGGAATCACCTCAAGGTAACTCCACCAGTTCATCCCACCAATCATCGCTAGCATTTTCGCGTACTGGGCTTCCTCTCACTCACTCTCCCCACTATGAGAGTGAGAGCTAGTGAGTGAGAGTGAGTGAGAGCAAGCCAAGAACGCGAAAATGCTAACAATAACGTCACTGCCCACTACGGTCACCTGAGCTCCAATCGCCCTATCTCCTGACTTATCTTAGCATGCTTAGTGTATTGACCTCACTTGACCTCTACTCTACCTGACCTCCCGGTGTTACAAATCAGACGTTTCCTCATTACGGGTTACTCATGCCCGTGCCACCTCTTGGGCGGCTTAATCTTCATCAATCAATCAACGTCTCGTCATTCCACACTTGAGAATGAACCCCCCCCCCCCTACCCGTGTAGGTTCGAAACGTTATGTAAGTTATAACAAGCATAATACGTTATGAATACTTTTATTCTTTACCTCTTCCTATTGAACCAGTGTCACTCGAGCGCAGTGTCACTCAAGCGCAGTGTCACTCGAGCGCAGTGTCACTCAAGCGCAGTGTCACTCGAGCGCAGTGTCACTCAAGCGCAGTGTCACTCGAGCGCAGTGTCACTCAAGCGCAGTGTCACTCGAGCGCAGTGTCACTCAATCGCAGTGTCACTCAAGCGCAGTGTCACTCAAGCGCAGTGTCACTCGAGCGCAGTGTCACTCGAGCGCAGTGTCACTCAAGCGCAGTGTCACTCGAGCGCAGTGTCACTCAAGCGCTGTGTCACTCAAGCGCTGTGTCACTCAAGCGCAGTGTCACTCAAGCGCTGTGTCACTCAAGCGCTGTGTCACTCAAGCGCAGTGTCACTCGAGCGCAGAGTGTCACACCTGAGCTGGCCACATCAATTACACCTTTCAGAATATAGCAGGTAAGGTGAGAGGTGACGTCCTTACCAGCAGTAATGAGATAAGTAACTTGCTTGAGTCGGATGTGGTTACCCGCGTCCTTGGGTAAGGTGTGTTTGCGGGCGCTGGGTGCATGGAGGAAGTGGGTGTGTGGAGCCTTGGTGCATGGAGGAAGTGGGTGTGTGGAGCCTTGGTGCATGGAGGAAGTATGTGTGTGGAGCCTTGGTGCATGGAGGAAGTGGGTGTGTGGAGCCTTGGTGCATGGAGGAAGTATGTGTGTGAAGCCTTGGTGCATGGAGGAAGTGGGTGTGTGGAGCCTTGGTGCATGGAGGAAGTGGGTGTGTGGAGCCCTGGTGCATGGAGGAAGTGGGTGTGTGGAGCCTTGGTGCATGGAGGAAGTGGGTGTGTGAAGCCCTGGTGCATGGAGGAAGTGGGTGTGTGGAGCCTTGGTGCATGGAGGAAGTGGGTGTGTGGAGCCTTGGTGCATGGAGGAAGTGGGTGTGTGGAGCCTTGGTGCATGGAGGAAGTATGTGTGTGGAGCCTTGGTGCATGGAGGAAATGGGTGTGTGGAGCCCTGGTGCATGGAGGAAGTGGGTGTGTGGAGCCTTGATGCATGGAGGAAGTGGGTGTGTGGAGCCTTGGTGCATGGAGGAAGTATGTGTGTGGAGCCTTGGTGCATGGAGGAAGTGGGTGTGTGGAGCCTTGGTGCATGGAGGAAATGGGTGTGTGGGGCCCTGGTGCATGGAGGAAGTATGTGTGTGGAGCCTTGGTGCATGGAGGAAGTGGGTGTGTGGAGCCTTGATGCATGGAGGAAGTGGGTGTGTGAAGCCCTGGTGCATGGAGGAAGTGGGTGTGTGGAGCCTTGGTGCATGGAGGAAATGGGTGTGTGGAGCCCTGGTGCATGGAGGAAGTGGGTGTGTGGAGCCTTGGTGCATGGAGGAAGTGGGTGTGTGGGGCCCTGGTGCATGGAGGAAGTGGGTGTGTGGCGCCTTGGTGCATGGAGGAAGTGGGTGTGTGGGGCCCTGGTGCATGGAGGAAGTGGGTGTGTGGGGCCTTGGTGCATGGAGGAAGTGGGTGTGTGGGGCCTTGGTGCATGGAGGAAGTGGGTGTGTGGGGCCCTGGTGCATGGAGGAAGTGGGTGTGTGGAGCCTTGGTGCATGGAGGAAATGGGTGTGTGGGGCCCTGGTGCATGGAGGAAGTGGGTGTGTGGGGCCTTGGTGCATGGAGGAAGTGGGTGTGTGGAGCCTTGGTGCATGGAGGAAGTGGGTGTGTGGAGCCTTGGTGCATGGAGGAAGTGGGTGTGTGGAGCCTTGGTGCATGGAGGAAGTGGGTGTGTGGAGCCCTGGTGCATGGAGGAAGTGGGTGTGTGGACCCCTTGTGCATGGAGGAAATGGGTGTGTGTGGAGCCTTGTTTTATTTCAGAAGTGAAACAGGAAATATTGCCTCTTGGGTCCCTGTGTTTCTTGGCTCCTGGTGTGTGTTGCGTCCCGGTGAGCTGTGGCAAGCACTGAGAACAAATATGGAATTATCGTTTACTTTCATACTTTGCTCCATACAGATGACAATTGTAGTTGGTTGGTACGGAGAACAGGGTGGCTGGCTGGCTGGCTGGCTGGCTGGCTGGCTGGCTGGCTGGCTGGCTGGCTGGTTGGGTGGGTGGCTGGCTGGCAGGCTGGTTGGGTGGGTGGCTGGGTGGCTGGCTGGTTGGGTGGGTGGCTGGTTGGGTGGGTGGGTGGCTGGCTGGCTGGCTGGCTGGCTGGCTGGCTGGTTGGGTGGGTGGCTGGCTGGCTGGCTGGTTGGCTGGTTGGCTGGTTGGCTGGCTGGCTGGCTGGCTGGCTGGCTGGCTGGCTGGCAGACAGGTAGGCAAAATGTCATATAAATGCCATTTAGGTACTGATCCTTCTCACTGAAGTGCCATCTTCATGGAAGGCAGAGTGTCCAGGGCGAGGAGTGTCCAGGGCGAGGCGTGTCCAGGGCGAGGCGTGTCCTGGGCGAGGAGTGTCCCGGGCGAGGCGTGTCCTGGGCGAGGAGTGTCCTGGGCGAGGAGTGTCCTGGGCGAGGCGTGTCCTGGGCGAGGAGTGTCCTGGGCGAGGCGTGTCCTGGGCGAGGCGTGTCCTGGGCGAGGAGTGTCCTGGGCGAGGCGTGTCCTGGGCGAGGCGTGTCCTGGGCGAGGCGTGTCCTGGGCGAGGAGTGTCCTGGGCGAGGAGTGTCCTGGGCGAGGAGTGTCCTGGGCGAGGAGTGTCCTGGGCGAGGCGTGTCCCGGGCGAGGCGTGTCCCGGGCGAGGCGTGTCCTGGGCGAGGCGTGTCCTGGACAAGGAGTGTCCCGGGCGAGGCGTGTCCCGGGCGAAGCGTGTCCCGGGCGAGGCGTGTCCCGGGCGAGGCGTGTCCTGGGCGAGGCGTGTCCTGGGCGAGGCGTGTCCCGGGCGAGGCGTGTCCTGGGCGAGGCGTGTCCCGGGCGAGGCGTGTCCTGGGCGAGGAGTGTCCTGGGCGAGGCGTGTCCCGGGCGAGGCGTGTCCCGGGCGAGGCGTGTCCTGGGCGAGGCGTGTCCTGGACAAGGAGTGTCCTGGGCGAGGAGTGTCCTGGGCGAGGAGTGTCCTGGGCGAGGCGTGTCCTGGGCGAGGAGTGTCCTGGGCGAGGCGTGTCCTGGACAAGGAGTTTCCTGGGCGAGGAGTGTCCTGGGCGAGGAGTGTCCTGGGCGAGGCGTGTCCTGGGCGAGGAGTGTCCTGGGCGAGGCGTGTCCTGGCCAAGGAGTTTCCTGGGCGAGGAGTGTCCTGGGCGAGGCGTGTCCTGGGCGAGGAATGTCCTGGGTGAGGCGTGTCCTGGGCGAGGAGTGTCCTGGGCGAGGCGTGTCCTGGGCGAGGCGTGTCCTGGACAAGGAGTGCCCTGGACGAGGAGTGTCCTGGGCGAGGCGTGTCCTGGACGAGGCGTGTCCTGGACAAGGAGTTTCCTGGGCGAGGAGTGTCCTGGGCGAGGCGTGTCCTGGGCGAGGAATGTCCTGGGTGAGGCGTGTCCTGGGCGAGGAGTGTCCTGGGCGAGGCGTGTCCTGGGCGAGGAGTGTCCTGGGCGAGGCGTGTCCTGGGCGAGGAGTGTCCTGGGCGAGGCGTGTCCAGGGCGAGGCGTGTCCTGGGCGAGGCGTGTCCTGGGTGAGGATTGTCATGGCTGAGGCGTGTCCTGGGCGAGGAGTGTTCTGGGCGAGGCGTGTCCAGGACGAGGCGTGTCCTGGGCGAGGAGTGTCCTGGGCGAGGCGTGTCCTGGGCGAGGCGTATCCTGGGCGAGGCGTATCCTGGGCGAGGCGTGTCCTGGGCGAGGCGTATCTTGGGCAAGGAGTGTCCCGGGTGAGGCGTGTCCTGGGCGAGGGCGTATCCTGGGCGAGGCGTGTCCCGGGCGAGGCTGGCGAGGCCCCACAACCACCCTCCGTGCCTCGCGCCGGCTCTCAAACTCACACCATTAACGGTGTGCAACAAAACACAGCCACTCGCGCCCATATAAGAAGAAGCGAGGAGGAAATGTCTTCGAAAAGTTTATGAGTGTCAATATTTGGCCGTCAAATAAGAGTGTCCAGACATTATTGTTATCCGCGGATATCCTCGTGTGGACCAAGGAGTCAAAACTGTGTTTGGGTGTTTGCTTCCTAAACACTCGACCCCCGGGGGCCACATGCACACATGCTGACTGGTGCGTACCACCGGGGGTATCCTCTATATACCCCAGGGTCACGCCAACGCCCTCTCCTGCTCCTGCTGCTGCTGTAGTTTATGGCTTCGTTATTATTGTGTGCACAACACTGTAGCTCTCGTAGTCTGTGTGTGGACACTTGCTGTTGTAGCCTGTGTGTGTGTGTGTGTGTGGACACTTGCTGTTGTAGTCTGTGTGTGTGTGTGTGTGTGTGTGTGTGTGTGTGTGTGTGTGTGTGTGTGTGTGTGTGTGTGTGTGTGTGTGTGTGTGTGTGTGTGTGTGTGTGGACACTTGCTGTTGTAGTCTGTGTGTGTGTGTGGACACTTGCTGTTGAAGTCTGTGTGTGTGTGTGTGTGTGTGTGTGTGTGTGTGTGTGTGGACACTTGCTGTTGTAGCCTGTGTGTGTGGACACTTGCTATGGTAGCCTGTGTGTGTGGACACTTGCTGTTGTAGCCTGTGTGTGTGGACACTTGCTATGGTAGCCTGTGTGTGTGTGTGGACACTTGCTGTTGTAGCCTGTGTGTGTGGACACTTGCTGTTGTAGCCTGTGTGTGTGGACACTTGCTATGGTAGCCTGTGTGTGTGGACACTTGCTGTTGTAGCCTGTGTGTGTGGACACTTGCTGTTGTAGCCTGTGTGTGTGGACACTTGCTATGGTAGCCTGTGTGTGTGGACACTTGCTGTTGTAGCCTGTATGTGTGGACACTTGCTGTTGTAGCCTGTGTGTGTGGACACTTGCTATGGTAGCCTGTGTGTGTGTGTGGACACTTGCTGTTGTAGCCTGTGTGTGGACACTTGCTGTTGTAGCCTGTGTGTGTGGACACTTGCTGTTGTAGCCTGTGTGTGGACACTTGCTATGGTAGCCTGTGTGTGTGTGTGGACACTTGCTGTTGTAGCCTGTGTGTGGACACTTGCTATGGTAGCCTGTGTGTGTGGACACTTGCTGTTGTAGCCTGTGTGTGGACACTTGCTATGGTAGCCTGTGTGTGTGGACACTTGCTGTTGTAGCCTGTATGTGTGGACACTTGCTGTTGTAGCCTGTGTGTGTGGACACTTGCTATGGTAGCCTGTGTGTGTGTGTGGACACTTGCTGTTGTAGCCTGTGTGTGGACACTTGCTGTTGTAGCCTGTGTGTGTGTGTGGACACTTGCTGTTGTAGCCTGTGTGTGGACACTTGCTATGGTAGCCTGTGTGTGTGGACACTTGCTGTTGTAGCCTGTGTGTGTGGACACTTGCTATGGTAGCCTGTGTGTGTGGACACTTGCTGTTGTAGCCTGTGTGTGGACACTTGCTGTTGTAGCCTGTGTGTGTGTGGACACTATACCAAGTCGATCGCGATACAAAACCTAATATGAAAATCATTTTGAGACAATGGAGTGACTCGGGTGAGCGTTCTGGTGAATCCCAGACACCAGAACGGGATTCACTGGGAGGTTCTGGAGACCCTAAACCGGGGCCCAGCGAAAGCCTAATATGTTTAAATAGATAAACCACTGACCATTTAGCAGCAGTTGGCGGCAGGTGTACAGGTGGGTTGTAACAAGAGAGCAGTACATAGTACAACATGAACATCAAAACAGCATGAACAAGCCACGTGGAGGATGAACAAACCACGGGCGAAAGTCAGGCGGCGGCAGACAATGTAAAAGTTACACCTCTGTACAAGTTAGCCAGAGTCAGGTCAACGGTCATCGAATCACGAAGAGGTCAGAGTTGATGCCGTCATGATAATCTTCAGGGATTAACCCCTAAACATCAAATGTAAAACCCTCATGTTCAGCTGGGGAGCAGATCATGCTACAGAGACAGTAGAGTGGGCGCAGCCCAGTAGGGAGGTGTATGTGTGGACTCGGGGAAGGAACATCATCTCCAGGAAAACTGTGGAACAACATACGAGTAAGTACGGCTCTCTTGTACTAAAGCACCTCATTCAGTACCCTTGGCCTCTAGTAGGGAATATAGTTAGGGAGTGTCTTATTTAATTATTTCAAATAAAGTCATCTATTAAGTGTTATAAAATGTGTATTAATGGTTCCTTGTCTTAGTGATATTGGGCCTACTGTCCCCTTTGCCCCAGTGACCTAGTGTTCTTAATTATCCAGTACTCCTCCCCCCCGTTCATCTTCCGTGTTGAGGTGTTAGTATTGGGTGTGTCCCGCCTTATTCTTGTGTACACTATAGTTCCCAAATGGTCAGGATTATTCGAGTGTCAGGCCAGGGTCCTTGTACCGTTCAATTGTCCCCTACACCTGTCCTGGTAGGTTATTCCATCTGCAAGACCTACGACTCTCACTCCGGTCCCCTGTCCGGTAACTCAGGGTGGTGGCAGCGTCACTCGGTAACTCATACGATAGGCTGTGACTACGATTATCTCTATCTTTCTCTCTCACTCTCCCTCGCCCTCACTCGCTCTCGTTCTCCCTCCCTTGCTCTCGTTCTCGCTCTGCCTCACTCTTCCTCTCTCTCCCTCGCTCCCTCTCTCTCTCCTCGTTTTACTGGTTTACGTCTTCGTATGACGGCCCGAGTGTTAACATCTTACATGATCGATAGCATCTGTTATTACCATAGAAAGAGCGGAGATTGCACGGTTAGCTCAGTGGTAGTAGCGGGGTGCGCGGTCGAGAGATATACAAGGCGGGTTATTACAGGGTGCTGGCGGGTGTAGGTGGGTGTAGGAGGGTGCCGGTGGGTGCGTCATGACATGTGGGTGTAGTAGAGAGTGTGGGTGTAGTACGGGGTTAGCACTATATAGTCCTGCACCTGGCTAACAGATGAACACTACAAATACCTGTTACTAATTTATGGTCAAGTCTTAAACTGTTCTGCAATTTGTCATAACTATTAATTTTTTTAATGTAACGCATATTAAAACCAAAACAAAAAGATGAACTGAACTAAACCTTAAACTAAATCAGAATATTTACATCCACGTAACCTAACACGGAAATAACCAACTGAGGGGAAAAAAATATCATTGATTGCCCTCCCTCATTATATCTATTTGCCAAACAATTTCCCTTGATGGCAATTTAAGTCGACATTGTTATCCTGATAATCTGTTACCATTAAACTTAACCTTGGGGTCGTTACGAGCCAATTATAACTGATCCAGTGCACCGTTCCCCAAACCACAAAGCAATCCTTCTTGCCCGCCCTGGGGACCTTGACAACGTCTCAAGCTCACTTTTCCCCCCTTCACCACCATTATTATTAACCTTATTATTCAGAATATTGGACCTTGTGGTTTCAACTTTGCAAATGCCGCTTCTGGACGCGTTAGATTTAGTTTTAGACCAATTTCTAAATAGTCAGCGAAGATATAGAGCTTCAACTGTAACGTGGACAGAGCCTAATACCACAGCAACGTGACTTGGCTGGCCGAATAGAAAACGGAACATCACACGACTTTTCGCGAGGCGTAATGCTGTTTAGTACGTCAGTTTTTGGCCTTAATGGGATTTATACGTCAGAAAGCGTTGTACTTTTGAAGAGGACGACTTGAGCTTTGGTCTAGATATCTGCCCTGTGCCGTGAGGCTCTTGTTGTACCTTGTGTTGAGCTGCCGCGACGCTGTCACATGAGAGTCGCGCTTGCTAGGGAGCGCTCTGTCGTCCTCACAGAGAACGGGTTAGTTTGTCGTTGTCGTTACAGAGGAGAGTTCTGTTTGTTGTCGTCGCAGGGTTCATTTTGTCGTCGTCACAGAGAATTCAACATATGCTCACAGAGATCAATTCAACATGTGCTCATAGAGGAGAATTCATCAAATACTCACACTGGAAAGTTCAATTTTTCGTTGTCATAAAAGGTTCAGCTCCCATACTTAAGACAGGATTCAGTGTCCCGTTCTCATATAAGGAAGGTTCAGTGTACCGTATCTATTTAGACGGCATCAATTTATCTTGTTTACGAACTGTTCAAGAGATCTTAATCACAGGTAAGTGTTCAATTTGTAAACTTTATCCAATTGAAAGGCGGCAGCTGAGGAAGTCTTGATCAACACATAATTACTCACTTCCGTGCTACATAACCACCCGTCCACGGTAATTTTACACACACACACACACACACACACACACACACACACACACACACACACACACACACTGACACACACACACACACACACACACACACACACACACACACACACACACACACACACACACACACACACACACACACACACACACACACACACACACACACACACACACACACACACACACACACACATACACACGCGCGCACACACACACACACACACATACACACAGGGTCTCGTAGCCTGGTGGATAGCGCGCAGGACTCATAATTCTGTGGCGCGGGTTCGATTCTCGCACGAGGCAGAAACAAATGGGCAAAGTTTCTTTCACCCTGAATGCCCCTGTTACCTAGCAATAAATAGGTACCTGGGAGTTAGTCAGCTGTTACGGGCTGCATCCTGGGGGGGTGTGTGTGTGTGGTGTGGGGAAAAAAAGTAGTTAGTAAACAGTTGATTGACAGTTGAGAGGCAGGTCGAAAGAGCAAAGCTCAACCCCCGCAAACATAACTAGGTGAATACACACACACACACATACACCACATTCAAGATTCTCAAGGGAATTGATAGGGTAGATAAAGACAGTCTATTTAACACAAGGGGCACATGCACTAGGGGACACAGGTGGAAACTGAGTGCCCAAATGAGCCACAGAGATATTAGAAAGAACTTTTTTAGTGTCAGAGTGGTTGACAAATGGAATGCATTAGTGTGTGTGTGTTTGTGTGTGTGCGTACTCACCTAGTTGTGTTTGCGGGGGTTGAGCTCTGG